TCCAAGTTTAGGCCTAAAAGGACTGCCAAGTATAAACGCCTCTCGTCCTCTGCTCCTTCTTCCAGGAGGGGAGGGAATGTGTATGTCGAGGTGGATGCAGCTATGAATTCTCAGCTGCCTCTCCGGAATGCACTCTACTGAGTGTGATAAGTGCTGCTTAGCCAACAGCACTACCTACTTATCCTTTTACAATTTTACTTACCAATTTGGGTGTAGTTTCGTTTAATTATGATTCCAATATGGTCATAGCTGGTCTACCTGGTTTACTTGAAGAATAACGATTTTTGAACATTCAATTGAGAATATAAATGTGAATTACTCTTATTCAACTAATTAATTTTCATCTTCTAAAGCTTATCATCTCCAATTTGAAATGCTATTTTTTTTATGCAATCCACTTGTAATAGTTATTGTTTTTTACTTTCTGTTGTCTTATTGATAGAAGGTAATATCAAAAATCTAACTCTAGCTATAACCGAGTGCTGACCTTAATCTGATATATGTTTTCTGTTTTGTAGATACATGTTTTTGACAGTTACTCTCAACAGCAAGAATTTGTGTTTGATGCTAAAAATAGCCAAATAAAAGTCAAACACCACGGGAAATTAAATATAAGAGAATACAAAATTTACGTAGAAAATCCTCCAATGTAGAGAGATACCAGGGACAAAAGGGCAAAAAATCCACCATTAAAATGAATATTACAACGACTGTTTCTCAAGATCTTTAGCAGACCTAAAATCTAAAGCAATTAAAAAAAAAAAACTCTCCAAGGTCACAATTGTTACTTAATCATTCTCTGTACTCTGCAGTCAAAGGGAACCCTTCCTCAGCTGCCTGTCCTGCATAACCAATTGAAATAATTTGTAAAGTGCATTCAAATAATTGCCAACTTTCGAATTGAAGTTAAAAAAGAAAATAATCCAGGATTGAAATTATCTCTCAGGCTGAAAAACTTACTATTAAAAGCAGATGCAATCCAAAAAAAATGTTGCAAATATCCAGCACCAACTTGCTCTTCAAATCCTGCTTAGTGGACAGAATACATTTACATAAACATACAAGTAAGCTTAGTTGCACTAGTTGTCATATATGTGTCACAAAACCAAACAATAAAAACAAAACCTTCTCCAAAGATTTTTAAGAATATAAAATTATGAACAACAGTATTGAAAAGCATATATGTGACTTTTAAATGAATTCTGAGAGATATATAATTCTACCCAAGGACATCTTTATGGATTCACAAGCTAACTTATACCAAATTTGTTCTGAGACTTACCGGCAACAGTCTTCCTTCAAGGAACATATCTGAGATGCAAGACTTCTTCCCAATTCATTAAAATTGAGGGCCTCCAAGAGCACACTGTATGATCAAATTTTGCAGCAGGTAAGTCAGTTTTTTGATAAAAGCTCGCTCAATTCAAATGATATGTGCTCGATTTCAATTGCATAATAACTAAGACACACAAAAGAGATTTAGAAAGCATACCCGAATTATCTACTTCTCTTCCATTCTTTTGCAATTAGAAAGTACGTCAGAATCATAATCATCTTCTGCTTGATGAAGCTACTTAGCTTCTAATCATCTACGCTACTGCCTAAACATATATGCTGAAATAATAGAATAGCTGAATCATTTTCCACAAGGGCAGAATAATTCCATGCCTGCAGCCAAAAATAAATCCCATCATTGTGTATATTATGCCACTCTCTACTTCACAAGAACATGTTTTGCAATGGGAAAGGAAGGGATCTGATTAATGTTGATAATAAGCTAATTAATATATGGAACTTAGTTCCAAGTGCAGAATAACAACATCAGTTCAAATAATTAATTTTAAAATTGACAGGATCAGATTAATGTTAACAAGCTCCTAAATTGATTGAGAAAAAGAACAAACACTTAATTCATCAAAGTGAAGGGGTGAATTACCTGAAGCTTAATCAATGTTGGAGTTCCATTGGTGAATTCTATAAATCCTCTTTCCAAACAATAATTATTCACTTATGGCCTACATGAAACGAAAGCAAAAGAACGAGCTCAAAAATTAATATATTGATTGATAGGATAAGGAGAGAATTTAGTGTTGGGAATTCATAATAAATTAAAAAGTGCAGTTGCGATAAAAAGAGGAATTGGGATTTCATGGTGAATGAAACACACCTCTTGCCTCTCGGAAGCCTCCATCTTGGGATTAGATGTCCTCAGAATTTATTGAGATGTCTGGAATGTGAGAAATCTTGGACCACTCAGGACCTCTTTCCTTTGTACATCTTATCTCTAACTCTGGGCAGTGTCCAATTAGAAGGACTTTCAATTTGGAGAGGCATCGAATGGCTTTTGCAGAAGGGAGATATTTCAGATTCTTGCATTTCACAATCCTCAGGTCCTGAAGAGATGACAATTTTTCCAACCACTCTGGCAAAGCTTCCATTCCTTGGAAACCATTTATATACATGTACCTTAGAGCCCTAAGGTCTTGAATTTGATGTGGCAATTGAGTTAGCTTTTCCCAGCCATGCAACGATAACTCTTCAAGTGAAGTTTTGAGGTGATGAATAGAACTCAGACCTGGAAATTCCTCCAACTCTTCTGAGAAAGGACCCATATCTAATTTCTTCAGGCGAGCAAGGCGTCCAATGATCTCCTTTGGAATAGAGACTAGATTGGAACAATTCCTTATGGTAAGCTCCTCGAGAGATGTGGAGAATGGCACCTCACCCAGCCACTCTGGCAAAGTCTCTATTTGATTGAAGCCAATTATACACAAACTCTTTAAAGCAGCAAGGTGTTGAATCTGCCGTGGCACTTCAGTTAGCTTTTCCCAGCCACACAACTCCAACCCTTCAAGGGAGGCCTGAAGGTGGTGGATGGAATTAAGACCAGGGAATTCCTCCAGCTCTACTGAGAAACCGCCGATACCCAACCTCTTCAAACCAGTAAGGCAGTTGAGGGTCTTCTCTGGGATGCTTCTCAATCTAGAACAGTTTGTAATTTCTAAATTAACAAGAGATCGCAAATCCTTCAATTCTTCTGGAATAGAGACCAGACTATTGCATGCATTTATGTTCAACCTCTCCAGAGCAGTGCAGGATGATAGTCCCCTTGGTAGGTATTCAAATCCATCACAGGAAGACAAACGCAAAGATTTAAGAGAGGTAAGCCCATCCATACTTGGAAGAAACCTCAGATTAGGACAGTCTTTTAGAGGTATATGTTCCAGGCATTTTGATAAGCTATCTCCTATGCTACTTAGTCCTTCGCAATTTTTAATATTAAGTGTCTGAATGGATGGTAATGCACTTGTTGGAATGCTTTCCAACTTAGCACAGCATTGTATGCTTAATTCTTTAAGGGACGTGAATTCAGTTGTCCCAACAGCTATTCCAGTTAATTTTTTGCATTGATCAATTTCAAGCTTCTTAAGTGATGAAAATCCTATTATTGGAATGTTTTCTAACTTCTCACAACTTTTGATTGTGAGTTCCAGCAGATTGTTCAACATCCATGATGGAAAGTTTTTACCTCCATAACCCTCAACCCGTAATCTTTGTAGACTTGCGTGCGGTTGGAGGCCTTCCAAAACATCTTTATCATGATTGCCTTCTTTTCCCCATTTCAATGTCAAGTCATATAGTTGCTTCTCATGTAATTTTGCTCCCATGGCTTCTGGTTTGTCTTTAACAAGCTCAAGATTACTGATGAATAATCTTCCTTTGAGTAGCCTCAAAAATCCCAGTTCTTCAATTTTACGCCCCTTTGTTGCACCCACACAAAACAATGGCAATGTTTGAAGACATGTTAGTCTCCCAATGTTTGCAGGCATCTGCTCTTCATGACTAAATAAAATATGCCTCAAGTTGATTAAGTTTTTTATTCCATTGGCAGGCATTTTGAGAGACCTGCAGTTCATGAATCTAAATGTCTGTAAATTGTATAACTCAGTGACAAACTTGGGCAATGCTGCTATTCTAGTTCTTGAGATGTCTAAGTATCTTAGACTCTTCATGTTGCCAAAGCATGGTGGAAATTCTTCAGTATCAGTAGCATCACAAAAACTAAGGACCCGCAACCTTCTGAAATTTCCAGACATCCCACGAGAAAAACCATTCTTCAAAAACAACGTGTGCAGTTGGCCATCTCCTAAAGTCATCGGCATCATCTCTCGT